TTCTTCAGCTCCGAATCCTTCACCCGCTTCCTTGCAGTTCGCACTGATCCAGGAAAATTCGTCTCAAAGGAAGCCGTTACTGCCGTGTCAAATGGATTTCTTCTTAAATGGTCAAGGAATAGATTATCTTCTTCAACGGTGCTTACTTTTCGACGCCCACCTCCGTGAATATAACGCACGTGACCCTCCGCATTCCATTTTTGTTTGAGTTGAAATATACTATTCTTACATACATGCAGATCATCCGCAACTGCTTGCAATGACCAACCATTCTGAAGTAAAGTTATAGCTCTCACTTTCTCTGGTTCCGTTAAACGCGGCATCTTGAATTACCAAGCAAATTCACGAATGACACTGAAATATAAAAACGTCATAATAAAAAAAGTAAACCACATCACATTAGAAAAATAAATCGTCCACTTTCAAAGGACGGGCACTGTACGTATCTATAGCTGATTTCAAGCGAATGACCAAAAATAACTACAGTTATTTCCTCGATAGCTCTTGGTTATGCCCTATACTTGACCCTCACGATAACCATACGTACGTCGCTAAAATGCAGTTGGTTATCGGTTACGGTTATAAAGCGATGACGGAAAGGAAACACAAGACACAAATTAATTTGTTTGTTGAGGTTATTTATTCATGCATATTGATTTGTGTTACCTACATACGGAATTCCTTTATACATATTGTACGGAATATTACTTAAATATTTATTTTATGCGATAATAATAATAATAATGTTTATTTACCTATGCTACATCCTTTCTAACAATATACAATAATCAATTTTAGAATCTAATCTTAATACTAAGAATAAGCATAAAAAAAAAGTAATAAAACATATACTCGATAAGTAATGACTTGTTTCGAGAACAATAATGCAGTACAATATTTTAATACAATATTAACATACTTTTTTTTTTATCATCGTGTGTGGTACACTCAGTTAATAAACTTAAGAAAAATTTAGACATATATTGACATAATCATTTCGTACATACACTGACATACATAACCATATACCTACATATACATATACACATATACACACATACATACATACATACACGCATATACACACATACACACATAAAATATCCTCATTTAATTATTGCTGGTTTCTATAAAGCTGTGAATTAGTTGTCTGGGAGTTTCTAATATATATAGTTTTAATTTCCTTTTTATAGTATGATTTGATGACTTAGTAATTTTCAAGATATCAGGTAATGTGTTATATAATTTTATAGCCAAATAAGCATACGATCTTTGACCAATATTTTTTGCCATAAAGGGCGGTTTGTATAAATTCTTCCCTCGAGTATTATAAAAGTATTTATTCTCGCCATATTGCTTTCCAGCTAAATGGAATTTTAAAGCGCATTTATAATAGAATAGCTGTCGAATGTCAAACAATTTTGCTTCGCTATACAACTGATTACTAGGATAAGTGGGATTTTTATTCAATATTAGTTTGAGAAATCGTTTTTGTATGATTTCCAGAGGCTTTATATAGCTTTTTACAGCAGCGCCCCACGTTAAGACCTCATAATTTATATGGCTTTCCACCAATGCATGGTAAACAATATTTAACTGAGTTTTGTCTAATATCTTACATATATATCTAAATTTGTATAAGAGTGTCTGTAACTTTTTTATTACATAGTTTATATGTACATCCCAACGTAAATGGCAATCAATAAATACTCCCAAATATTTTACATTTGTTTTTGGAAGAATACTGTAAGGTTTTCCTTGGATTTGTAAATCTATGGAGTCAAAATTTGGAAGATTTGATTTGGTACAACTAAAAGGTAAGTATGTTGTTTTTTCTAAGTTAAGGGTTAATAATTTATAGTCAAACCAATTTTTAAGGTAAAGCAAATCCGTTTGCACTAACTGTTTTAATTCAACCCATGATTCAGCTTTATGAAATATTGCTGTGTCATCAGCAAATCCAATAATGTCTCCTCTTATTGGCAATGAAAACAAATCATTTATGTATATTGAGAATAGAATAGGTCCTAATACTGTGCCTTGGGGTACACCATATTCTATGATTAGTTTATCACTGTAGACATTCCCTACTCTTACACTTTGATGTCTGTTTGATAAATAATTTTGAAAAAGTTGTAAACATATTCCACGTACACCAATATTTTCCAGTGACTGTAACAGTAGCGGATGGCTGACAGTGTCAAATGCTTTTGATAAATCTATAAAAGTACTTAAACAAGGTGTACTTTTATCTAATGCCGAGGACACATTATTTATTAAGTCTATCATAGCATCTTCAGTTGATATATTTTGTCTAAAACCGTATTGTTTTATATTAAGTAACTTATTTTTATTAAGGAAAGAGACTAATCTAACTTTTAATAATTTTTCGAATATTTTCGTAAAATTAGTTATTAATGAAACTGGTCTATAATTACTAGCCGTCGTGACATCCCCTTTTTTAAATATAGGAACAATCAAAGAATCTTTGAAAGCTGATGGCCAAGATCCTGTCTGTATACATTTGTTAAAGATAAATACAAGTGGCTCCAGTAAATAGCAGGCAATAGGTTTTAGCATTTCAGCTCTAATGTGATCCAACCCCGGTGATTTATTGTCTTTTAATTGACATATAATATCATTCACCTCATATGCATCGGTAGGCAACAAAACTAATGATTTTTCTATTGTTACGTTCCTATATTTAATATCATTTTTTTGTTGTATTTTTTGTGCTAAATACTTTCCTGTGTTTGCAAAAGTTGTATTAAATTCATTACAAATTTCTTTTAACTCAGTTATAATATCACCATCAACATTTTTTAGAGACGATATTTTATTAAATTTAAGATTTGATTTTGTTAAGTCTTGAATTACATTCCACAACCTCTTTGTATTGTTTTTGTTTTTATTAATTAAATTTTGATAATAATTTTGTTTTGACTTTTTTATCAGGTTTGTTAACTTATTTTTATAATCGATGTACTCTTTTTTTAAATTAGCATTATTTGGATTGTTTTTTAATTTCTTGAACATGTCGTTTTTTGTATTAATCGATTTTAGTAGTGCATTTGTTATCCACTGTGACTTTTCATGCAGTTTTCTTTTTATTTTTTTTTAAATTAGTACAATCTTGTACTGCTTGTTTAATAATATTTACAAATGTACTTGTTGCAGACTCTACGTTCCTAGCAGTAAATACAGGATCCCAACACATATTAGTTAATTTCGTACATAATTTATTATTATCTATTGTGGTACTGTAATGAGATGTATCATTTTTCATTTTTTTATTATTAAACATAATTTGCAACATTACTGTATAGTGATCAGTTATATTAGTTTCTACAATAATAGGTAACATTTGTTCTAAATAGTAAATATTTTTAGGTTTAATAAAAATGTGATCAATACACGATTTTTGATTTCCTAGTACCCTTGTAGGTCTGTTTATTGTGGATATAATATTAAAGCAAGGAAGGACAGATTATTCCCATTATAACGAATTATATTTCTATTTATTATTATTTTGTCATTATACTTAATTACAGATTAATTTAATTGCAAATGGAGGAAGTTCAGTTGCTAATATTAGCCTTACCTATTGATTGGTTATTCAACACTGAAATAATACTGATGAAAAAGTTTCTGAAAATTTCAAATAGTAATTTGGCGCTTTTATGTAAATATCATTCGATGGTACCTAAACTAATAACAATTGAAAAATGGATTGAAAAAAATTATGACAACTATCAGTTTTTTAAATTGAGATTGTTACTGCAGCTTGTGTATTGCACAATTTTTGTATAATAAATGATGATATCTGGAATGAGGGACTCCCTGTGGATCAAATGGATAGGGACCATAACATTGTGCAAAACCAGAGGGAAGGAAGAATAAAAAGAGATAGGATTGCCAATTAATTATTTCCTAATTTGTAAATAATAAAATGTTCATAAATTTATACTTAGTGTACTTTATTTACCTATTAAACTTACAGTCAAATGAAAATAAATAAACGCTCAATCTAATAATTTACATTTATGAATTTTAAGGATTCTTCTAAGATATTAAAAATATAGAAGTATTAAGTAGTGTGTAAATAAATAAAAGGTGCTCAATATAAGTATAGGAAATGACAATTTATTTGATACTGAAGTAATCTCTTAAAAATTCGAAGACAAACCTAAATATAAAATAACTCCATTTTCTCTATATAGTATTATTTGAGTCTTTTCACTTGAAGGTCATTTCGTAAAACTTATTCGGAATCGGACTCTTCTCGCGTTTTCTTTTTAGAAAATCTGTATGCTTTTCAAATGTATTTTCTTTGTCTTCATCTAAATCATTCGTACTAACCGAAGCAGACTCTGCTTCTGATGTTTCAGAAAAAGAATCTTGAAGATATCTTGGATTACTTACTTTTATCTTTACTACCTAGAATCGAATGTAGCTCTTCAAAAAATGGAAACAGATCTACAACTCCACCTGCACCTTCTGATGTTTAATACATGCCATATAGGATTTTTAGAGATTTGCAAATTTCTGACGGTACCTGCCAGCCCCATTTTCCCCTAAGTAAAAATTTCTAGCTTCTAATTGTAAAGCAATATCGTGTCATAGCTTAGATTTATTAGTTTTTTTGTCATCAAACTTTATTTTATACTGTTCTCTTAAAGAAAGGAGTATTGAAGTTGCTTCCAGATCTTTCTCTGTTTGCCTTTTCTTTGTCCACAATATTTCATAATTGTCTTTTGCTTTAACTGTTTCACAAACTGCTGATGTTGAAGGCGTTGATATCCAATCACATTGCATTTCGATTTCTTCAGGAGTCTGAGGACTCGTACTTTTTCCTTCTTTTTCAAGATTTTCCACATAATTACAAGCAGTTCCATAATCTGTGTGATAAAAATATAGCTATTATATACTTATGAACTGACTGCAGTTACAAATGCATTTTCACTTACTATTAAGAAGCAAATATGTTTCCATACCTGGAACCTGAATTTGCATATCTTGACCTTTTATATTAACACATATTGGATATTTTTCTTTTCCATCCAAACTTAAAAATTAGATACATAGGTATTACTAAAATCATGTGTTGACTAAACTTAAAAATCTTAAAATGAAAATATGAGGTTACATCAAAAATTGACATTTGCATAAGAAACAGAAAGGAAGAGAGACAGAATAATAATTCAGCTCCCGACTTGAGTATTTACCGGTTATAAAATTTCAAACTCATGACGTCACAAAGGGCTTTTTTCATGACGTCATGACGAATTTAACGTTTTAAAGCGCTCAAATAGCTATGGTAAATACTATTTACTACCGGTAATTACTGGTAATTCGCTTGAAATCGGCTAATGTTTAATTAGTAGTTAATACTTTTATAATCACTCTAATTGATAATCGATATCTATTGAAGATTTTGAAAACGTTTTAAACAAGTTTTTATAACTTATTTAATCCATATTTGTCTTGTACGTATTAATATTTTTAACTAAATCATATACAGGGTGTTACGAAATTCGCGGACACGGACTCTGGGATCATGTTAAGCTAGATAAGGTCATAAAAAAATGTCTCTAACATTTTTCAATAAGACCGATATTTTTCAAGATACGGCAATTTTAAATATCCAAAAATAATAAAAATTATCAATTTTTAATCATTTGATAAACAATTATGGCAAACGAATTGTTCAAAATTTCCACATGCTTCAGCACATTGTGCTACAGCTCGAACGGAGTTGCATCTTTGGCGTTATTTGTTGTATTGTTTGAGCAGACAGCTCTATAACAATTAATGACAATTCAGAAAGCATTTATCAATACTTTGACATCGTTAAGAGTACAGTAAAAGTACCTGTCAATACAAACTGCAAAATAATAGGCCACAATTATTTAAATCATTAATAGTATGATATGCTGATGGCTTTCGGAGCTTCAAATAATCGTGCAGGTGAAGCAATGCGGTTGGCTTGGCAGAGGCGGTCCATTTGCTTGGCCACCTCGTTCTCCAGACATAAGCCATGTTTTTTATTTTGGGGCTTCTTAAAAACGTTGGTGTACAGAACACCAGTGGCAAATTTGAATGAATTGCAGAACCGCCTATTTCAATCAATACAGCAAATAACACAAGAGGTGATACGCAACTCCATTAGAGCAGTAGCACAATGCGCTTAAGTATGTTTAATAGCATACGGTGGAAATTTTGAACAATTGTTGTAACTCGTTTGTCTTAATTGTTTATCTAATGATTGAAAATTGAAATGTATAAATATATTTTTTTAATTATTTTTGGATATTTGATACATCTCGAAAAATACTAGTCTGATTGAAAAATAATAAAGACACTTTTTTATCACCTTATGTAGCTTAATATGATCCCACAGTCCGTGTCCGCGAATTTTGTAACCCCTGTATATTAAGTTAATAAACTCGATAGTGTTATATCTCTTTTTAATATATTTCTTCCATTTTTTATCACCCTGAAATTGTTAGCGTAAATTAATAAATAACTAAAAAAATAAAAAGTAAATATTGTTCAATTTTGTATAATAGGACCTTATTTCTGTATAACTGCTGATAATTTGTTTTTAACTTTTTTTCAGTGAAGGCTTTGGAGAACATTAGAAAATTAATAATAGTTAGGAAATAAAATTTTTCAAAATGGAATACCTGAGTAGAGTGGTTGGCGATAACGTTTGGTATCCAAGTTGTATTGTATCTTTAAAAATATGATTATCACTTTATAAAATTAGAATTTCTATATATCTATAATTCATGAGTAAAATTATAGAAAATAAAATTCTATTCTGTGGCTGTATTATATTTTCATATATACTGTTTGTTTTTACGTTAAAATTGTATATTTTAAAATGTTATATATTTATAAGAAAATAGATGTATACACAAAATTGCAAGGGAGGCATATCTTAATTTAAGGCTTGGTTTTAAGGTGTTGACGAACATCGACAATGCCAACTAGTGATCGTTACCAGAATATATTACAATAAATATAATTAAAGCGTTTTTTAATGCCGAATGTTGAATATCCCTCACTGGGCAATCATTGCTGGGGTTCATCCGCGCCATAAATCTAAGCATTTATTAACTGCCAACATTTGAATTATAACTATGTAACCACTTAGAGAGTGTGACTTTGTTTAAGGGGTGAATTTGTGGGACAAGCGAAGTGAGATCCCGGAATATCACACGAGCTGCATAAAATCATATATCGTAAAGTATGTAAGATCAAATGTGATTTTTTTCTAATTTTGACAAAAAATTAAAGCTTAGCTTTAATTCTCTTACTTCATAAATTTTAATTCAGTGAGATAAAATCTAAATTACTTTTGAAATTCATTTTGAGAAAGATGTCAGTATAGAAAAATGTAATAATTAAAAATGTTTTCACAAGATTGAGATTATTTTAGTACTGTCAGATGCTTGACAAGCTCTATAAGTAGAATTTACCATGTAATAATTTATAATGTTAACTATACACGTGCAGAAAAAATCGTAGTTGATTTGTAACGTTTAAATTGTTTCACAATTTTTAAATACATTTTCATGAAAGCATCTTTCAATCGTGCAAAAAAATAATAAATATAAGATACGTCTCCTAAGTGTATAATAAATTCTCGGAAATTAAAAAAATTCTTGGTTTCACATTGTTTTTTCAAAGTTTTCTTCAAATTTGTTATAAGGCATTTACCCACCTGCTGTTTAATCTCTAATCGCTTATGATGTATATAACTGGCATGAGCAGTCAATAAATAAATAGTGATTATGACAGAAATATACGCTGTTAAATAATGTGTCTGCTTACGATGGAAAAGTTTGCTTGTGCAAATCTATTGCCTACGAAGATCTATTCGCGAATGCAGCTAAGAGCTCGCCCTCTGACGGTGACAAGTGATACTAGCGAAACAAGGTAAACATTTCTTCTGTGTGTGACATTTTATTTAAAACTGTGTTTAGTGTTCGTTTTTTGAACACCGTTATTTTAAGAAAATAGTGTGAGGAAAACTTCAGCAATTATGGATAGAAAGAAGAAACTATCAAACTATTATTTTTCAGTTCAAGGTTGCTCTTCATGGTCCAAGAAAAATGCAGAATTAAGTTTCCATCAAACCATTGAAGAAATTTTCAAAATATTATTGCCGATAGATAATACTCCCTGAATTTCATGAGGGTTGTTAGTAAGTAAGGGCATTATAGTTTGCAGACACAATATAAATTTCTAAATTTAAATTAACTTTGTCCAATTTTCCCATATAGTACCACATGATCAGCGTTAAAAACTGCCTCTTCTTCTGATATACAAGAGAGTTTTCGTTAGCAATATATGTAAATAGGAAATGTATTCCACAACGGATAAGTTCATAGTTAAACCTAATAAAATGTATATTAAATTGTAATGCTAGAAACAAATAAAGTAGACATAAATACCTGCCTTATAAATTTATTTATAAAATATTTGAAACCTATAAAATAACACAAAAGTCAAATAACCGCAGTTTGATAACAAAATTACTAATAATAATGGCAAATAAGACAAATGTTGTTCAAATGAAAGTGTAAACACGAATGGCAATGTCAAAATTACCTTGTCTCGGAGCTTACTGCTTTCGCCGCTTGGTGCGCTTGCATATTAAAAATTATCGCGGATAGTGACTAGCGTGGTATAAGTTGTTTTACTTGTTCATAACGGTGTAGATCTTTGAATGGGAATATTATTGTATCTCATATGTTGCACGAGTTATTTATAACGATTTAGCAAATATATTAACTGAAATAGGGTGAGAATCGCTGGATGTTACGTGGACATATTCAGGTATTGCATGTCCCATTTTTCCGTTTACTGGTAACACGAGAATCCAATTTCCTTCTCTTCATATTGATCACAAGAATTATATGTATTTGCAACAATTCTAATATTATATTTGTTTTGTTTTTAGTTTCTTTATACTGTTTGTGACGACCAGATTTTATTGTAAACTGAATACGACATATAATACGCTGGCGCGAAAGGGGATCACGCCAACAAGAAGTCCACTTCTCGCAACGAATCAAGGCGTTCAAGAGGGTAGTGTACTATGTAATTCATGTAGTATTCTAAAAAAATTTTTTGATTATGAACTCTCCGTGTTCATATAATTTATGTGTACCTATTTTTTCTATAACTTCTCATTAAAAATCGTTACATTTAAATATATTTTCAATAATACCTAGTAATTTTACCTATCTCTAAGCAGGTAGTATTTCTGAAGCCAATAACTGATGTAATTTAAAGAAAACAAAATTTTGAATTTGAGTTTATTAAATTCATTGTTAATATCAACATTTTTTCAAATATTTTGTTGGTATTATAACCGAATTTATGAACGCATGTTTAATATCAATATTTTTACTTTAAAAATTATTTCGGTTATTTGTCACAGAACAATTACTTACAATCCTTTATTACAAGCAACCCTGTCTAATAAAAACGAAATAACTCCGTCATTTATCATGAAGATCGGCCTGCCATCGAAGGCCTTTTTAGTTCATCCTGACGGCCGGTAGGTGCGCTACGGTTCTGTTTCTCTCTTTTTCTTAGGTACTCCGTTTTCTTCTATTATATATTTTGTGTGAGAGTGTCAATCAATAGAAAACTATGCAACGCACCAAGGATATTTATAATACATAGGATTGCTCGATCCCTATACCTTCAATGTTGGCCGTTTTCCCACTCTTCCGTGACGTCATCGCGGACGTGGATGTGTAAGAAGCTTGTGTATTCTTATGGGGCTTGTGCGTTCATTTAATAAATTTGTGTTATATCTTCTTTCTTAAACTTTTAGCAGTAGTGTGTGTAAATTGCAGAACTTTTTTGAATCTTTGTGCACTATTTGTAGTAATAATAATGTGGTAAGTTGTAAAGAAACAAATATAATTGTTAGTGGTAACCTATAATCTTTCATAATAGATGAGATGCCGTGGCGCCGTTCTACTATGTATGGCTTTAATAACAGCCGTATTTCAACGAAAACGGATAATCCGGAAATAGTTT